TTTTTTTTTTTTTTTTTTTTTTTTTTTTTTTTTTTTTTTTTTTTTTTTTTTTTTTTTGACTCTGAAAGCGATATTGATCAAACCAACAAATGCCAATAAATTGCCTCGATGGGAGAGCAGCATTATGAAATCGAGAATGAGATAGTCTAAAGGGAACGGCTGCAAGTTCAGTACACTGAAAAAAAATTCTCGGCGTTTTTACCAAGGTCCGTTGGTACCCTTACCATCTCACTTTTTTTACCAATTATTGGTAATTTTACCAATACAGACTGGTAAGCTTACCTACAAACCGGTATTTTTACTGTTTTTTCAGGTAAGAATACCACTTTTATTGGTAATCAATTCCCAGTAACTTTACAATTTTATCTCGGTAATTTTACCACAGTCGATAAAAAATATTAGCGTTTTTTCCGGGGATCAGTAAAACTACCGAGAAAGTCGATGATTTTACCGAGATTTACCAATTCCATAAATGGTAATTTTACCAAGAAAAAACTGGGATCAAATAGAACCCTGAATTCTTGGTAATTTTACCCTTTCCTTGGTAAATACACCGAGATTTTTTTTTCAAAGTAGGCTTAATAGACGTACGGAGCAAAGTGGACAGGGTCGTGGAGGAGCGCACCAAATGGAGTCGGCTGATGGACATGCGGATAGGCACTAAAGTAGATCGGCGGTGGAAAAGCAACACGAGTTGTAGCCTTCAGATTTGGGACCGAACGAGTAGGCCTCGGTCGGAGATGTTGAACAGAGGGCTCAGCAGCAACTTGGATAGGTGTATTTGGAATCGCTCGGTATTCGGGTTGAGCATGAGCAGGTTTCTGTTCATGTGCAGCTTCCTCATAGATCTGAGAGTCGTCGGTGCAAGGCAGCCATGGGCCGGTTGTTAGGGCAGATTCCGCAGCTCCTGGTTGTGTAGCAGCCTTTGGAACACGAACTTTATCAGGTACCACAGCTTCTGACGCGATGACAGGAGCGGCCGCTCGAACGAGAGGGATGGCGATCCGTGAGGAGGTCAATGGTAGCTCGCGGGGGTGTTTGGAGACGGCGACGTTAAAGCCGTTGGTGTCGTGCCAGTCCACCGTCCTGACGTGCCCGTCAGCCCCGACGTAGCTGTAGGAGCCCTGGACCATGTCACCGTCGCGGACCTCCGAGTGAGCTTTGGCGTCGCCGGTGATGGGGTCGTTGACGGCGTATCCGAAATTGTCCATGGGGTAGGCGTCAGGGATGGCCGGGAGGGCGGGGGCTGCGGTGAGGGTGGCAGCAGCGGCCGGGGTCTCAACGGGGGTTGCAGATGAGATGCTGATGACGCCAAAAGTGATGATGAGCTGAAACAAAAAGTGCGATCGGCGGTGAAATTGGGGTGAAATCCTATATGTCTCAGTAAAAGTAACATATTTTATGCTCTCTCCTTAATGTTTTAAGAGAGCGAGAGACGCAATAGCCCGAATGCAGACAACAATAAAAACACACTAAATACACTAAAATACAAAAAACAAATGGGTATACAAGGCTATAGAGGATAAATAAACAACCAGGACGTTTCGGGCCAATTGCATGCTCATTCTCAACTGGAACAAAAGCCAAAAAATGTGAAAATCAAAACAAGAAAATGAGCATGCAACTGACCGAGACAGGAATCGGTGCAAACCCGGGAGTTTCATCGGAGTTTGCACTGATTCCTGCCTCGGTCAGTTGCATGCTCATTTTCTTGTTTTGATTTTTAAATTTTTTGGCTTTTGTTCCAGTTGAGAATGGGCATGTAATTGGCCCAAAACGTCCTGGTTGTTTATTTCTCCTCTATAGCCTTGTATACCCATTTGTTTTTTGTATATTAAAGTTTTAGGTATAGACAACGATTATTGCAGCTGTTAGTTCAGAGATTACTTCTAAGTGCCATGCTAGAATAATCATGGTCATGGCTACAGTAAAGAGATGCGTATCGCCGACTGTGACGTTGCAAACCTCTGCTATTTTTTTTACTTAAAAAAAAAAAAAAAAAAAAAATTAAGCGACAGTTTTTCTTACGGATATCTTATTTAGTCATCAAGGCACGAGGTGATCACGCTAATGACGTCATTGCCGAAGAGGAAAATATTGGCCAGTCAGCTCTTTTATTCTGCTCTTAGTTTGCTCCAAAGCGATCGAGTTATTAACAACAACCGTCATAAACAAGTTCGGGTAGAACAGATTTGCACGAATAAAGCTTTGTCACACAATTTAATTTTGTGTCATAATCTTGTTCAATAAAAAAACCGTGCCGGTTCTTCATCATTACGTAACTGAAACTGAAATTATTAACTAACAATTGCATAGTTTTTGAACAAACAGAGATCAACAATTGAAATTTATCAGTGCTCCTAGATAGAAGAAAACTAGTTTATCTTTGGGACACGCAAAAGAGTGCAAATGGATCTCAAGATAATCCATTTTCCAAAACCCAAACCTTGAGACAAATCCTAAGAAGAAGTAGAAAAAATGGAAACGGATGGCGGGAAAATGCACCTTCAAAACTATAAGAAAGGCAAAATGTTTGACAAGTTGTCAATACCGTTGTACATATCGTCTTTAACCAACAAACATAAAGAAAAAAATTAAAGATGAGCCCCGAAGCCACAATGCCCTGGTCAGGCAATATTTACTTGAGCAATGTCCCTATTCCATCAACGACTTCATAAACGGGACAGGTTGAAATCATTGTCGTTTTTTATATATTTATTCTTGTTTTTTATTTTGAAAATTTGACGCATTTGTAGAAGCCACGTGCACCAAACAACAAATAAAGCTATTATTATTATATATATTATTATACTGATTCAACTTCGAACGAAACATTTTATCCCACTTGCAGAACTTAAAATAACCCTATAAAATCATTTCTTTCATACAGCTCCCGTACAAGGTCACATTAACCAACTTGAATGAAAAACTTATAAAACATTTTTAAAGAAAATAAATGAATAAAAAAATACATAAATTAAAAATAAAAAATAAACTTCGAACGCATAACACATGACAGGCATTAATTTTTAAAAACGCAACTTACCTCCGCAAATGCCATTGTCAACTTGGTTTTTGCGAAAGCCTCAACACTAGTAATTCTGAAACGCTGAACTTGGAATAAGTTCCGATTCCTCATACACGTGATATTTATAGTAAAAATGTATTTGTAAAATGCGGTTGCGTTCAACTAAGCGATAAAACAGCAATGAAAATTCAGCGAGAAAAATTCAGCTTAAGCGCGGCGAAGGATAAGGAGTTTGGATTTCTGCTTTTAAAGTAGAATCAGACGGATAGTAACTAGAGGAATCCTAACGCTAAAAATAATCTACTGGTCAAAGCTGATGACCTTTTAAGGACAGAATGATTCTAATTAGAGCTCCTTAAGTTCAAAGACTGTGGACCGTTAATTTACAGTATGTTATATTTGTTGGCTCGAGACCAACAATTGTCACACCTAGTGGCTCCCTATTCGAATAACTGTTGGGCATTAGTGCAAAATATAAAAACCAAGAAACCAATATTTGTATCTATATCAAATCATATACCCTCATACCAAATAATAAGAAAGTAGCGATACTTTGGCTTATACAGTAACGTACCGAACGTACGGTGCAATGACATTGCACTGCAATGTGACGTTCATCCACACCGGATGAACAAAACCACCAAAAAATACTGAAAATTGTCAAAAGTCAAATGTCAGCCTCGGCCAATTATCTATCGTATTTTTATAGAAGTTAGTCATTTTATTTAATTTAGATTACAAAAACACCACTCACATTTCACCGAGAACACCGGTTTCCATTCGGACATGTCGTCGCCTTCCAGCCAAAGTATCACAAGCGCCATGTGACGTTTCAAAATTTCCGCCGCCATTTTATTGTTTGGCAGAGAAATTGTTCAACACAGCTGTCCAAAAATCCCATTGCAGTTTTGTTTTTGTGCTGCCGATAAAATTCAGTGAAATTTTCGAACAGATTCAACCAACAATTTCTCTGTAAAAAAATTAAATGGCGGCGGAAATTTTGAAACGTCACATGGCGCTTGTGATACTTTGGCCGAAAGGCGACGATGTCATTTCTGGAAATGTCACGTTTAAATGGTGTAAAGCTGCACCGGATAACCGCGAAGCACGGCTAATCGTTGCTTTACCATAATTAAAACTATCCAATCCAAGTAAATGCCAATATCTTGCAATGCTTAAAATAGAGGAACAAAACAGGATCGTATGGAGCACGAAATCTGTGGTCAAACCAACGCTTCGCCATAGGCCACGGTGTCATAATAAACCAAGGGTAAACACCCCCACAGCTCACCATCAATCCAGGTTACCGTAATCGTAGATTCAATCGCAAATCGAAGGGAACGGATACTTTACGATCAGGCTCCCGCAACTTGTTCTTGGGGTGAGCGCCAGCTCAGGGAGAATCACAAAGCCCGCTAAGCGCAATTAAAATGAAGCTGTAACCATGTTTAATGGAGTGGTAAATGACGCAAAATTAAGTGAAAAGTGGAGGATGCATCTTCGTTCGGAAACGTCAAATGGCCCAGGCTGTGCAGCTGTAAAACTGTAAATTAAGCCGCGTAGGTAATACGACCAGATCGGTCGAACTGATTCATTATCGGCCTGAATGGGGCTCTATCTACGCCCGCATCTAAAACCTGGCCGTCGTTAATTCAGAATCGTCTGATTCAATTGAGGGGTGTTTAGAAAGGCATCGGCCACTCGGAATGTATCGTCTATTATGCTTAGTATAGCTTTGTAATTCAGCAAAAAGCCAAAACTATGATAGAAGGGGTACGAGTTTACCAAAAATAAGGGCAAATATATATGCAAAATGGCAAAACTGACATTCTAGGTTGAGTTAATTTTACAGTAAAGATTTTTTTGTATAAAAAAAAAAGAGAAAAAAAATTGTTTTCACTCAAAAAAAACTTCAGTATTGACTTTAGCCGTATTTCAGCTCTGGGAGCTTACCATGCATGAAAAAAAAAAATGAAATTGCTGATTTAACAATTTTGAAAGTTTTCAGAAAACTGTTGAAAAAAGTGTCCAGCATGTTTCAATGTAGATTTTACGATACAAAAATGCCAATTTATCACCCTCGTGGTTAAATTAGCTTTCCACCATTGTGAAATGTACTTGAAACATGTCGGACATATTTCTATAACAATTTAATGGTTAAATCAGTCATCCCTTTTTTCCGTGTGGTACAACGATCCGAAATCTACAGTAACTAGTGTGGTACAACGATCCGAAATCTTCAGTAACTATAAAATGTACAAACAATTTTGATCGGGCTTATACGGTTAACGTCATTTACTATGCATGACCATGAGAGGGTAAGCGTTTTTAAACTTTTTAAGTCGTCAGCATTCCTTCAATTAAAGGTTCGATTTGAAGATATCGTTCATCTAATATTCCTCGCTGGATGATGCGAATCTCTTGTTACTTTTTGAAGACCGTAAAATAAATTTTCCAGCGCTGGATTTAAATATGCTACTCATTTCTCTCATATGTCATAAATTTTATTGTTGCGCCAATTCGAAGAATGACTCTACTCTCGGCTGGGTTTCTTAAGCCACGCTGCAGTAGCACAAGCCGTCGTACTTCGAATTTTCTTTTAATGTGAAATTTTCTGGAAGAAATAACAGCGGAATATCACAAAGAACAAGATAGAGACTTGAAAAAATTTTGGAGCAATTTTCCACCTCTGAGAAATCCTCGATAAGTCTCGAAGCGATTTTACTTGATCCTCTTGATTCACAGGGAATGGAAGCATAAATGTCAAATCATAATTTAAAATAAACGAGTTTCTACACCTCGAGCGTTTGCTTGCATGCACAGAAGAATGTACTAATACCTCTATCTATCAGACGTTATGTGGCTCGGTGTCGTCTGTGCTTTTAAAATTCTAACGAGTCGCTGGTGTTAGAAAACAGGAAGAATAAAACTTGACAAATGTCATCGACTCCACTTTGCTCGAAAAATGTCAAGGCTTTGACCAGGCTGAGTTCACTCAGGCTATCACTGTAGGCGTTCAATGCTATAGTTCTCGATGTTGCAACGGTTCATCACGGCTTATGACAGTCTCCTCGCGCTACGTACCCTTTTCTTTTTGGTTGTATTTCATCCGTGCTGAATTGATTTTCTCTAATAAAGTTTACAGAAATATTTTTTGCGCTCACGAAAGTAGTTTCGAAAAAAGTTCTATCCGTTCATCAGAGAATTACACGGGTTTACTATTATTTTACTATTTTTTTGTCAGTATTAACACCTTATCCCCTAGGTAATTTCAGAAGTTCTATCCTCTTAAGACACAACTGAATAATCTTAGAAATCAAGAAACGACATGCTGCTATCATATGTATTGAGTATATTGGAATTGTGGCTTGTGAATCACTTTCGGTAAACTTTAAGCACACTTCTAAAAATATTTTATCATTTTTTGTTTTGGAAATACTCGAAAAATATTACCTACAAGCTCACAGTGGGTTTTAACTAAATTTAATTAAGAAAATGAAAGTCCCCATGTCTGAAAGCGGAAAAGTATAGCGAAACACCTCAGGAAAACATCCCCGCTGAAAAGAAAATCATTCGTTGGGCCGTTTTTTTTTTTTGCCCACCCAAAGCCAAAATGGCGGCCGATATGCGCCGCCGCGGGGTGCAAATGTTACAACTCCCTCAAAATGTCAAGTGACACATCGATTCCTATGTAATTTTGGTCGTAGAATCCGAATATGAGGTCAAAAATCCCTCACGACTAAAAGGGATCCCGCAAATTCAAGATGGCGGCCAAAAATAGGCCCCGGAGTAAAAATTCTCAATTCCAGCTTTTGGTAACGAGTGAGATGTCTTTTTTTATGTTTTTTGGGTCATAGGATCCAAATTTGAGGTCGAAAATTCCCTTCTGGCCGACAGGGATCCCTCAAATCCAAAATGGCCTCCATTTTGGGGATGACATATTATTTCCGAAAGACTCGTATAATCGAGTGAGGTGTCTTTTTACATGTTTTTTGGACCACATGATCAGAAACTGGGATCCAAACTGTGTCCCTGTGGGCCGGAAGGTAAGATTTATCCCTTAGCACCTTGATTGTATCGTTTTTATCAACTATTTTAATAAAAACTCAGAATTTCACTGTTTTCACTGTTTCTCTGTTTAAAGAAGATAATTTTTGTTATGTTCCTATTTCTCTTGCCCTAGTTTTTTTGTGAAGCAGGGGACTATATCCCCTGCTAGGCAAAAAGGTCAAACATTATTTGTAAGAATAGAGCATTCTTGGTGGGGTTGGCGCCATTCTAACAGTGAAATTCTGAGTTTTTATTTAAATAGTTGATAAAAACGATACAATCAAGGTGCTAAGGGATAAATCTTACCTTCCGGCCCACAGGGACACAGTTTGGATCCCAGTTTCTGATCATGTGGTCCAAAAAACATGTAAAAAGACACCTCACTCGATTATACGAGTCTTTCGGAAATAATATGTCATCCCCAAAATGGAGGCCATTTTGGATTTGAGGGATCCCTGTCGGCCAGAAGGAAATTTTCGACCTCAAATTTGGATTCTATGACCCAAAAAACATAAAAAAAGACATCTCACTCGTCACCAAAAGCTGGAATTGAGAATTTTTACTCCGGGGCCTATTTTTGGCCGCCATCTTGAATTTGCGCGATCCCTTTTAGTCGTGAGGAATTTCTGACCTCATATTCGGATTCTACGACCAAAATTACATAGGAATCGATGTGTCACTTGACATTTTGAGGGAGTTGTAACATTTGCACCCCGCGGCGGCGCATATCGGCCGCCATTTTGGCTTTGGGTGGGCAAAAAAAAAAAACGGCCCAACGAATGATTTTCTTTTCAGCGGGGATGTTTTCCTGAGGTGTTTCGCTATACTTTTCCGCTTTCAGACATGGGGACTTTCATTTTCTTAATTAGATTTAGTTAAAACCCACTGTGAGCTCATTCATAAGAATTAAAAATAATCTCCCTAATTTGCCATTTTGGCCATATTCCTTTATGATGAAGACAATCGTGCTGATAAAAGACAGACAGTGATAAAATATTAAAATTTGAATTTTGAAAAGACTACCTAATTAGCATTTGTGAAGAGGGTGTGAAGGATTGGGTCCTAAAAATTGTGTAT